CCCATTTGATTATTAAATCCTGATAAGCTGTCAATCAAAACATTGGCCGGTAAGCAATGATTATAAAAGCTACGGTTTGTATTCACCAGACACACTGTCTCTTCTGTCCTGGGCATTTCCTCCCCGACCCAGGAGAAGGCTGTGACTGACCCAAGTGCGGTCAGTATCAACCAAATCTGCAGGACACTCTTCCTCCTCTTCCCTTGGCTAAAATATAAGATGCAGAGAGGCGTAAGAGACACCATTTAACCAATGTATCCATCTGAATGTTACAATGACTTCCTATTGAACGTTTTCCCTCTTTCATACAGTGTACTGATCACAGAATGTTGTAGCAAATAGAAAGTGGTCACAGGTACCTCATCTCCTCTCCACTCACTGTCATACATGGACCGGGTGAGAGCAGGGTCCATGCTCCACATGGGCTCCACTTTAATCTTCCTTTCCCCTTTGAGAGCAGAAACAGATAGTGAGCTCACGTTTAATACAAAGTGATTATAAAGAAATACCTGAAATTATACAAAAAGAAAATGATGAATTGCAAACTGAACACTCTGCCAGACACAGGACAGAACTCACCATCTTTTCCTTCAGGTCGGTTGTGTGAGGCCTTCAGATCCGGCTGAGGTGTTCCATTCCTTCTAACACTGTTCTTGTTTGCTTTAACATCTGGCTTCTTGAAAACAGGACTCAAACAGGAAACACTTGGCTTTTGGTTGAAAGTCCCATTTTGTCCTGACTGAAACAAAAATCACATGACATTTAAAAACCACATGGAGGAAATCACACACTCTCACACACACACACACACACACACACACACACACACACACACACACACACACACACACACACACACACACACACACACACACACACACACACACACACACACACACACACACACACACACACACACACACACACACACACACACACACACACACACACACACACACACACACACCTCTCTAACCTTGCTGTCGCGCAGCCCCTGCTTAAAGCTTTGATTGCTCAAAGGCGTGGAAGTTAGTTTGCCTCCATTTTGTGTGTCGGCCCCTTCCTGGTTTCCTTGTTGGTTCTCTTGCAGAACACTTTCCTCCTTTTTCCGTTTTGCTTTGTTAACGGAGCCTTCCTCTGAAAACCTTTTGACACATGGGAGAAGCGACGGAGACCCTTCTGACGTGGAGTCTGGACTTTGGAGCAGCGTGGAAGAAGGGCCGGAGCGGTAAGGTCTTAAGGCAGGGAAACAAATATGTTTGTGTTATAATAATGTGTTATAAGATAATCGACAGGTTGGCAGCATTCATTGCCGTTTGCTGCGGTGTCTTTTCTTACAAGCCAAAGTTGCAAAAGTCAGAACTAACAAGTTATGATTTTGATGTGATAGTTGGTCAATTTGCTGTAATATCTGTTGTCCTCTTACTTTAAATGAACGGCATACTTCCGGGGACATTTTGAGCTGCTTTGCTTGCCTTCAGTCGTTTTGTTTTTCTGAGGAAAAGGAAAGAAATGGGATGGTATTAAGAAGCTGTATTGGTTTTGAATCAAAGGGCATATTCTAGGAAGTCTCTTTGACACAGACTATTCTTCACCAGTAAGAAGCCTACCTACCATGCGAGGCTTGTTGATGAGTTCAAGGCCGCAGGTTTCTGCTATAGCGTCTTCCAGATTTACATTCACATCATCTGAAAAAAAGACAGAGACCCAACAACACCTTTACAAATCTCAGAACAGATCTTCAACTTTGGAACCTAAATTTGTTATTTTTTAAACTTAAAATTAAAGAAATGCTACTAGACAAGAACATAAAAATCAAAAGTATTATCATGTGTAAATATATAATGCCTCATTTCAAATGGATAACTATGCAAGAGGTGGTTTGTATTATACTTTTCAGTTCTCATTCATTCCTCTGTGTAAAGAGGACTGAATTGAGACTTTGCAATCTCTCTGCAGCCCGTCGGTGATATGATGGGTGTGTTTGCGTAGACAATGTTGCCACGTGCTAATCTACGACTTCAAGTAACAGATATTACCTAATGGGAGGAAATCAATAGGGTTTCAATTCTTGTTCTCTTAGAAAACCAAAAGTAGTCCTTCTGTATGATATTTCTTATTTCAATTTTCTTTTCTTTTTTTAAATTGGATAGAGCCATACTTGATATTTCTCTTGTGTCCAGTTCACATGTGTTGGGTACAAGAACTTGTGCTCTTCCAGGATTCGTCACAGCATCAACATGCTCCTTATCCAGTGCTTTAAAAAAGAAAACACATTAGAAGATGTGGGGCCTTCAGACAGGAGATTTACATTAAAGGGGCATTAGAGATGTTGGAAGTAACTTCAAAGGCAGACTGACCGCTGAACAGAGAGTTGTTAGCCTTTGGTAGAGGCATCTCTTCATAGCGGACATGTTTAATTCTGTCGATATTCTTTCGTTTCTTCAGCTTGTTTGCCACAGGCAGCGAGCTTGCCATAATAGGTGAGTCTGGGATGACTTCTTCTTCTTCTTCTTCTTCTTCTTCTGGGGAGTTAACTTGCTCCGGCGCTGAGCTGTTAAAAAAACAACACCTGCAATGTTTAACTGGGAACTGAAACTTTATCGTAAATGCTTTATCTGCTTCAAAACTCAGTCCACCTGATTCAATCAAAGCAGAAGTGGAACCAGCGTGATCAAATTACCTACAGTGTGTATAGTTATCTTGGGTAGCTGATAAAAGAACATTTCATTTATTTTAACACTGACTATGTCAAAGAGAACATGTTGACAAAACATGACTGTAACATAATAATGAGCTTACCAAGAAATCTTTAATTTTTGCAGTTCAGCATGTTGTTTTCTGTTTTCATCCTCGAGGCTGTTTCTTTCATTCTCTGGTGAAAAGCAGAACACCAAGGTGTTACCACAGATGCTACCTCACTATTAAAAATAGTATGCTCTTCGCCAGGCAAGTAGCAATATGCTGTGGTACACTGGTACAGTCGAAATACATTCCAGACCTCCTGAAGACACAGATCCCTACTTTAAATCAGTAGGTTTTTCTATCTGACTGGAATAATGGGAATCATTATTTAACTCACTCAGTTTGGCGATGAGTCGTAAATTCTGATCGTGGTTATTTTTCATGTCCTCCTTTAAGATGGCACAACGATCACACCCTCCTTCACGGAGCCTGTAAATCGTTTTTTTTATTTTAAGTTGCTGGTCTTTCTTTCAAACTGTTTTGAGTAAAGGTTCCTGTTGTGGGAGAAGTTACCTTTCCTCCAGGAGGATGATGGCCTCCTGGAGGGTTTTGTTTTGCTCCTTTAGCTGCTGGGTGCGACTGTGAAACACCTCAAGTCTCTGAGCATCTCTGAAGAAAAAACAAAAGCAATGACAGTTAGCTTCTGAAGACAGGACTACATTTAAAGCGACCAGTCTCACATGATGGTTTAAAGCCAGGTTCAAAACTACTGATGTTATTGTCATCATCATTATTAGTTAATTAGTTGTTATACTCACAAATAGCGCTCCTTTTTCAACTTGGTCACTTTTGCCTCAAGTTCTAAAAACAGCAAAAAATGCAATGTTGAAGAGTGTGACACAAGAAATACACTTTGAAAGATGTAACTTTAGTATCTGTCTTTAAAGTTACCTACAGGGATGATAGAGGCAACACTTTATGTCTACATACAGAACAGCTGAATAGTTACCTTGTAATGCATTCTGTTGGCACTCTCTGAGCTGCCTCCATAAGTCTTCAAAGGGGTCAGCTGATGTCCCGCTGCTCTGTCCTGAGCTGCTCATCCTCCATTCACTGCTAAAACACACAGAAATATCTTTATCTAGTATTCTCTATTCATTTATGTTTCAATGTGCAAACATGTTGGTCTCTCTGTATTTATATACTAAGTAACTTTACTACAGTATACTCGATAGCATCTTACAAATCATTACAAATAGTTGGTTACAAAGCATAGGTGGTAACGTCAACTTAAAGTTAGCTAAAAGGTTAGCTTGAATCCAAATGTATACTTGTCATTCGCTATTAGTATATTTTACAACAGGAAACCCATTACTAGCCTTGAAGTTAAACATACCACACAACACGAAACACTGCCACATTTAAATGAACAAAACTTACATACATGAGTCCAATGAATACGTATCTGTTCTGTTTATAGGGGACTATACTTTTAGGTTAACTCGTTACATTTACGTTATTTTGTGCAGTACTCCCATGTTAGTAACATCAAAACAAATCCCCGCGCGCCGCATTGCATGCTGGGAAGTCTTCTTCTCCTTTCTTTTTCTTCTTCTACTGATCTGGAATATTTGGCGCCCCCTGCCGTTCAAATTGGTTTAAACCACCTACTAATACTACTATCGATAGCTCAAACAATTGGAGCACTTTTATTTTTTTTTGATATGTAGGAACCCCGTAATAAACATATATATTATTATTTTTTGTTGTATATGTAAGTGAATGTTAACAGTATGAGTATCTTATTCTTTAATAGCTGTTTTAATGTACAGTAGAGCATTGAGGGCGTTTGTCTGTTGTTGTCGAGAAACATTACTCCGCCCTCATTCTAATTGGCTGCCCCAGCTATATAAGCAACATTTGCTGTGTTCTGTTAACAGCTAATATCATATGTCACCTGTAGCCTACAGTTTGAAGAAAAGGATTGTGTTATTACTACCGTGTAAACATTTATTTTTATTCACAAGCTTTTTTGGGTAACTCTTACCACTATACAGTATATCTGCCAGCAAGGTACTTTTTAGGACCAAGAAGTGAATGACACAAAAGGACACAGATTATTCTTATATTTGTTTTATTTTTGGTCTTTCTTTATAATACAAAACAAGAACCAAAATCACAAAAATAACATTTACAAAACAGATTATTTAACCGAGGTGACTGAGGCAACATATAAAAGCATGTCTGAAACAGTGATATTGGTGGTTAGCCTGAAACCTTGAGGTAAAACAGCGAGCAATGTAAAAGGTCAGATATCTTTACCGTTTTGAATTAGTGCCTTCAGTAGTGCTAATCACGAATGAAGTTTAACAGGATAATATTTTTTCTTACATGTCCACAGTTAGCAGTGATTTTATGTAGTGCTTTAGACCTACCTAAGAACAAATTGAGTATTGTGAGATGTAGGTCGAATATTCTAGGCGCGTTGCAATATATGGCACCATTTTTAATGGTTTCTATTTTAATCCACACACACACACACACGCACACACACGCACACACACACACACACGCGCGCGCACACACACACACACACACACCACTATTCCTACTCATCCATTCTCTTAAACTCTTAGCTTGGTGCAAATGATTTCTAACAACTTCCTCTACTTGTTCCTCACAAAAAGAGTGTTTCTGGCTAAAATAAGTGAATAATTGTAAAAGTATCACCCCAAAAAAAGGAAGAAAAGCTGCTTGACACTTTTGGAAAGTTGATACTCCTGGATATAGCAGGAAAAATAAAATACTCAGAATGGTTGAGTTTTTGACTGATGGCCATTGCGACACTTAAAAAGTCCTATCTTTTCCTAAAATACAAAAATGGTAAGACAAAATGCTTGAACTGCATGACAGAGAAATAATAAAAACCTAGCCGTACTTACCAAAACACATAGCAGTGAAAATAGTACAGTTTGGTCTGCACTTCTTTGTGCAGGTATGTTTTTGCATGAATACACGTTTCTTGTCTTTCATTCTTTCACATGTAATAAATGGTCACTGGTGATTCAGCATTGCAGATTATTACTTTTTTTTAGTTCCTTTGGATGTGCCTTTTGTTGATTTTGCATCTGTCACAGCAGGTAGATTGCGCTAGCATTACTTCATATATCTATGTATACACATGCATTCAACATCATATATATCCCCCAAATTGAAAGAAACACAAAAACTATTCCAAACTCCCTTTTTACCACTTAAGATTTTTTTAAGCTAAAAAACCCTGCATGACAGTCCACAAAAAAGTTTGCATGGAGGCATTGCTGTTGGGTGTGAGATATGCAGCAGGTTGAAGAGGTGCTGGCGCTGGGGTTTGACATGGAATGCAGCCTTATTCCATTGAGAGGGGTCATGGGGATGGGCCTATTCTGCACCCCCGACTATCCAAATGGGCCTCTTTCTATGTATTTGGGTTTAGATTCACATTATGCTGGAAGAAGAGTAACTGGTTGCAGACACTGGCCGAGCAGGTCTAAACCAATTGCAAAAAACACTGGCGTAGAGTGTGAATGCATATCTACTGTCTTCTAACCTGCGAAGAGAACAAAATGCAGAAATACTTTATATGTGTGTTTTCAGGAAAGGTTTCAGAGAGCAGAATGTAAAGCCAGAAAGGTAACATGTTAAATATTAATGGCATGTACTCACGCTTCTCTCTCTTCACCATTGTGGGGGCACATAGCTGTAGCTAGGTGTGCCCGGAGGCCGATATGTGGGCATCGTGACTTGGTGAGGGTTAACAGACGCTGGTGATTGAGTCGTCAACAAAGTTCCTGAGAAGCAAAGTGACCACAGAATGAAAACAGGTCTTATACAATAATAAAATATACATTTTCACAACGAAGAATGGGACTGAAGGTCTAAATATTGGTGTAAAACTTGGCATTTATGATTCAACCACAAGGAGGTATAACTTCAAATGTAGCATCTTTACAACATATTATACGTTTGAAACGGAATAGAGTTTTTATTTTTATTTTAAATCAATCCTTTCCGGTGTACGAGCTAAAAACGGTTTATTTTATACAAACCAGCTGTAGTTTTTTTTTTTCAAACGTTATGAACTAAATGTTGACATAATGCTGATCAAGTGTAAAACTCTGTTTGCTGGTCCAGTCAAGTGTTTGGAAAATGTTTACACCAACCAACCCTTTAATCGATGCTCACCAGCTGACATGGCCATGGTGGTGCCGGCTACCATCCCCATGGCGACGCTGTTGTGGCGTTGAGGATGCATTTGGGGGGTATACATGGCAGCATGCATCCCATTCGGCTGGACCACTGTAGTGTGATGGATAACATGAGGCGGGGCAGCATACAGGGGCTGTGTGTAATAAGCGCCTTGTTGTTGTGAAGGTATTAGCTGGAAGACAAAAAACATGTTACATTCAAAAGTTCCAAACAAACAGCAGTTTAAATAGATTTAAACCAGACAGAAAATACATTGAAGCAGCAATATCATCATAAACGAGAGCTAAATGTAAACTCACACTGACCTGTGCATAGGGGTTCTGTTGGGGGTAGGTGCTCCTGACCGGGTACATAGCAGCTTGGTATGGGTTGGGTGAGGAGGAATAAGGTGGGACAGTCCCATTGTTGGGAGAGCAGGACATTTTGAAAGGAGTGCCTGGAGCATAGCCTGGGTGGGAGGAAGACATTTAAGTTACTGATAATTCAATTTAGTGACACTTACAGTAAGTGGTTGTGACCTACATACAACACGATCAAATCCTTGCTCTAGCACTGACTTGTCAAATCTCCATTAGTCATACACGCAGTAATAACATGTTCTTACCGCTGGGGAAGGCTGGGTTTCCTCCTGCATAGATATTGGGATTGTATGGAGGAGCTGCTGTTGCATAGCCAACAGGGAATCCAGCTACCATAACCAAAAAGAGATCAGAAAGTCAATCATTGAAAATGTTCTTGATTCCTGGATATTTTTGTGAAGTGAAGATGTTTGTTTAAAAAATTACACACAGCAAATGAAATTACCTGGGTATGCCATACCCTTAGTATTGGTAAATGGGACCCCTGCTGCTGCAGGGTTGTAAACCGGATTCATAATGGACACAGATGCTGCAATAAAAGAAACATAGAACATGATTTTCAGAGATAGACAAAAATAAAAGGAAAGATCATCTGGGTAAATATAGCACTGATTCATGAGTCAAGTAAAGCTGTTCAAAAAGCATCACAGTTTAATCTGTAGGTTAAACAGATCAAGCAAAGGCATGCTGAAATGTTGACATTCCCCTGATGCTGCTGGTGCCAAGTGGCTCGTCCATATGCCAACACTTAGCATAGACAAGTCATGACATTTTAGGGACTGCAATGGTTAAATAAATCATAATGTGTGTATGGACATGATATTATCTGGTGAAGAGAACAGTGAGGAGGACTGCTGGTGCATTGATAATGTGATATGACCTTCACAGGTCATAGTGACACAAAATATGTCTTTATCTATTATGTCTCAAAGCATTTCCAGCACATAAAAAGCTTGGCATTATTGTTTTCTTCCACTTAACTTTGACTGTTATTTATCTGTAATGTTGTACAACGGCCTGAACAGAACATCTTAAATATACATGCTATAATACACATTTTGTTACTTGTAGTAAAACACAATCCTATACATTTATTCATTAAAATGTCAAATTTGTGTAGCAGAAGTTTTAAAACGTCCATTACCAGAGGAAGCCCTGACTTCACATGATGCTCATTAGTTAAAAAAAGAAAAGCACTCAGTGTTGCCCTCTAGTGGTGATCCCAATAACATTACATCACTTTGCAAGTCTGCTGATCCAAGGACAATTCCATCAGTGAAGAACGCACTACGTTAATACTTCATTTCATTTAATATGAAGGTAAAACTAAAACCATGACACAACCATTTACACAGAGAACAATATTTGCACTGTCAAGGAGAGGTTACTACAAACTCGAATCTATTTTAAAGTAAGAGGTTTTTTTATGGAAACCGCAAGGATACATATAACCTCATAGTGTACAACAATCTCTATCATCCTATCTCCAAATTGAAAAGACATGCAAAACTGTGACCAGGAAAATGTCAGCTATAAAGATCGTGGTGTTCTTTCCTACCACCAAAACCAATGAGCGAGTGTGACGCAATACTAAATTGATATGTATTTTTCTTATTTTTTACAAAATGCTGATTGGTTATAAGAACGATGTTCCTTCCAGTAAGCATTGCTAATAAAGATGTGTTTGTGTTTTTTCATGTGATGTTAGATGCATTGCCTGCAAAAATAAAGATGGCAACCTTTAAGTAGAAGAATTTCGAAAGGTGAACGTAGCGGGGCTTTGTTATCATTAGCTAGCTCGGCTCACACGCCTTATAGCGGCACGACGCGCCGTTAGCTACGCATGTTAACCATTGCAGGTTGGTCATGGTGTATAGCCTGACCTGGTAATCACCTGTCTGACCGCAGAAAAACATCGGACTGTCCCCGGACAGCAGCCAGATGGGGCAGCTTGTCAACAGGCCGCATAGCACAGGAGGCAGGCAGCCCGACAGCTGTGCTCTGCAGTAATTCCTGTCCCAACACTACAGAAAACACATATTCTTATCCAGCTAAAAAACAACAATAACTTACTGTTAACTGCTCTGAACGTATGGTGGTTTCTTCCTTCGGTCTTCTGGTGTAAAATGTGAAATTTTACGCTAGCTGGTGTTTTGCTCCCAGATGCTTTACTGAACTCTTTTGAGCATACGCGTCACTTCCGTGTAGTGTCACGTGGTATGTGAAAATCTCTTGAATATAAAACACATTTGCTTTATCAGTTCAATTGTGTTCTTATTGCAATGTGTATTGGTTTTCGTCTCTATGCAATAATGTGTTTTTTCCCCAAATGTTCCTCAATGCAAGCACAATCTCTAACAGGGTTAATTATCAAAAATAAAATGACGTAACCGGCCACAGATACAATTTGCAAAGCAATGCGGTTCATATTTAGTATGGTACCATTACGCAGTTTTTGTGTTCGACACAGTCGCAATACGTTGTTCTTGCAATAATATAATGTGCAATAAACATAACTGCAACATTATTGCAATTCTCCGCGAGCTTATTATTGTGTCTACTCAATGGTCCTTGAAGACACATACAATATATTTTATTTTGTGAAATTATTCACTTTATCTGATAACTCCTAAATACCTGATCTGACGATATCCTTAACACTTTAGGTAAACAGCACTCATATCACTTAAATGTCATGTTTCTTTAACAGCATTACAATTATTTATTTTTGCTCTTCAAGGACCTTGACGCATCGTTTCCATTCAGCCATTGAACTGGGAGAGTACGGTTGTAGTTTCATTGCGACCTGAGTGCGATTTTATAGGTAAAATGGTGCTATTTAAGTTATATTAGGAACCATTTTACGTTGTCAGGTGAAACTATTCGGTCGACTGGTTTAGTCGTTAAAGAGCAGGGGCACAATGTCTGGAGCGGCCGGTGGAGGAGGAGGCTCCTCCTGTCAGGGCGCAGCAGCGGCAGCCAGTTGCAGCTCCGCCGGCTCTCCCTACGCTGCTGCAGCCGGAGGAGGCGCAGGGGTGGCCGGGAGATTACCAGCTCGGGTCCTGGAGCATGTTTTCTCGTATTTGGAGCTCTCCGACTTAATGCGTTGCACTTTGGTGTGCTGGCATTGGAACAATATCCTGGCGGATGAAAACAGCGAGGTGTGGCGCAGCCTCTGCAACCGGTCTTTAAGCGATGAATCTATGCGATCTGACATCCTGTGCAACCTGCCGACCTACAGGGGGAAAGTAGGTTCAATATATGCCGTTGTTCTCTCGGGCTGGGAACACCTTGATTGATGATAAAAATCTGCCTATCTGGTGCTACCTTTGTTTTGCAAACACCTTCACGTAGCGTTGCTGATAATGTGGTTCACTTAAAATTAAAGTGTATGTTTGCTGAAAACCGAAATCCAACGTGCATATTCCTATTTAAGGTCTGATGTAGGGATTTAAATGTCTTAATCCTTTGTGTTTTGTTGTCATTCGCTCTCATTAGGTCATGGAAACCTTTTTTATTTCAGGCCCCAATAGTGAGGTCACTGTTATTGTTTACTATTATATTGCGTAAGACTATGTACTCTATGGAAGACCAAATATATAGTGAATCCCTATTTTAGAGTATGTAGAATAACATGTTGATATATTAAATGATTCAATATGCCAATAGAAACCTATGGATTTGATTTTGTGACCAATGAAGCTGCTGTAAATCACTTGCTACCCTTGACAATGAAAAATCCAAAACAAATATTAGATTGAGGCTTTAATCTGAAGATATTGATCAATTTATCTCAAATAGTGATTTTTTTAAGTGTATTTTACCTTTATTTAACCAGGATAGGTCTCATTGAGATTAAAAATCTCATTTTCAAGAGAGTCCTGGCCCAAGAATCGTGTGGGCAATGTGATAGTTGCCATAATCATGTACTTATCAAATTAATTTTACAGAAGCTTTGAGCTCCAAAACCAACACTAATGCAACACATTATGTACTAAAGCTAAAGTATTTGTTGATGCAAGCATCTAGGTACAGGATATTTTTGGACTTTCCTTTTTAACTGTAGCACATTCTAAAATATGATGTTATGATTGTGTGTTTATATTTTAATATGTTTGCACCACTGTAATGCCATTAACATCAGACTCTCTCCAACCTTAATGTCTGTCCACTACAGCTCAAGGCCTACCAGTATGCTCTGAGCTCCCACGACTGCTCCCGCAATGTTTACGTGAAGAAGAACGGCTTCACCCTGCACCGCAACCCTATCGCCCAGAGCACGGATGGTGCACGAGGTAAAATTGGCTTTACGGAAGGGCGGCACGCCTGGGAGATCTGGTGGGAAGGCCCTCTTGGCACCGTGGCAGTGATCGGCCTGGCCACCAAGCGGGCGTCCATGCAGTGCCAGGGCTACTTGGCCCTGCTGGGCAGCGATGACCAGAGCTGGGGCTGGAACCTGGTGGACAACAACCTGCTTCACAATGGGGAGGTCAACGGAAACTTCCCCCAGTGTAACAATGCACCAAAATATCAGGTAGGAGTTTTTATTTTTGTACCCTCTTCAGATTGTAGGTCTATGAATAGAGTGGGATCATTTATGTATTCATTATTTGCCGTTTTTGTAACCCTGTAATGTGTGTTTGTCCGCAGATTGGAGAGAGAATACGAGTGATTCTAGACATGGATGACAAGACGCTAGCCTTCGAGAGGGGTTTTGAGTTTCTTGGAATAGCGTTTCGTGGACTACCCAAAGCCTGCCTGTTCCCCGCTGTCTCTGCAGTGTACGGCAACACTGAGGTCACCATGGTGTACCTGGGAAAACCTCTAGACGGCTAGCAGCAAACATACCTGTGCCACCATAAAACTCACAGTCCACTGGCAGGACTTTCTCTGGCAACTGACCCTGTTTGTTGCATCGTTTAAAAGGTTTTGGAGTCTAGGGGGTCGTGCTCCTTCCAAGCTGAATACTATTCACACACACAGAGAGAACTGTTGACATTTCTACTACTGCTCAACATAAGGAGGCAGTTTTTTTGACTGGACAAACTACAAGAAAAATGAATGTGTCTGAAACATGTTTCTGTATCAACGTGGAAGTGTCCACTTTTACAGTTTAGCTGCTGGACTGTTTTACTTACAGGATAGGGGGAACATTATTTAATTTTGTGCGATCATGGCTAACAGTGCTGAACATTTCCTTGAGATTTTGTCTCTGCTTAAATAAGGCCAAAACTATTCTAAAATGTGGCAAATACTTTAAGACATCTTATTAACAAGTGAAATAGTAGTTGTTATGAATTGCCATCTGTTGTATGAGTTTATAGAACCAGCTCATCGTGGATTAACACTTCACCTATACTTGATGAGTGGAATATAGTAGTTATATGCCAAATCAATGTGACCTGATGTTATACTTTGAAAACTAAGAGGACATGCGGACCAACTGTCATGCATGTGCATGGAGTATACCATCTGACATTTTAATATACCCATTCAGTAACGGTGTAAACTATACCTGTATCATGTTAATGCGAGTCCTTTTTAATGTGCTACCGTAGTATTACACACTATTTATTTCTTGGTTTTATCTATGGTACTATAGTTACTGTATGGTAATAAGGCCTGAGAATAAAGTCTACTTTGGTGCCACTCTTAGAATTAAGATGACTGGATGTCTGATTATGCACGACTGTCCAATTACACTACATGTTTCCATCCAATGTTATATTCATCTTTACAAAACTCTCAATTATATATATGCTAGCACCCAGTTTTAGACGCTGCATAAAGTTAATGTCAGGGTAAATGTGTACTTAATTTTCATTTAGCATTGCGTTTACCACTTCTAAATCTGATCACTTCTAAAACTTTCCAATTTTCATGTGTGCATGGATTAAAGCAAAGGAAATAATTAGCATAACCATGTAGTCAGAGGTGAATATTGCAACATCTGTGTGTCTAATCTTACCTTAATTATTATCTTTACTCACTTACAAGTCTAGCAGCAGAAGTTAAGTGGCAATGTGCAAATACTACGGCCATTTTGCATGTCAGGAGATTCAAAAGAAAAGAAGCATTACAAAATAGTAATTTTACTTTTCCAGGCACCATATCATTACTGCGTGCACATACGTTGTCCGACCTGTGCAAACACGCTGCAACAGCCCAAAACATTACGTTAGGAGAAACGTTCTGCACCCTCCAAAGCAAAGAAAATAAAGAAACAAATGTCACAAAAGTAATGCAAATAAAGAAACATCCTCACCAACATGTAGCATTTAGAAAACATTTGCCAACTTGATGAAAGATGCGCAGGGTTTACTTAAAGCGCTTTGCATTTCTAGCTGCTTTGTGCTGCTTTCGCACATTTGCACGGGTCGTCCACAATATAAAACACGGTATAATTACAGGAAAAGGCTCCCATTGTTATAACAATATAGCAGTCCAACACTCTCAGCAACACTAACAGCCTAGTCATATTTCCCTGACAATGTATGGCATGAAAAATAACTTTAATTTGTCATTTTTGCAAACACTGAGGTTCTGACACTTTAACCTTAGTTGACTTAATGTCTCACACTGCCAGAAGAATCCTCTAGTACTAAGAGCAAATACAAGCAGTTTTTCTTTTTTTTAAATCGAAAGAACATCCGCATGACTCATAATTGTGGATTAACAGACAGAAATAAAGCCCCTCCACCTACAGGAGATCAGCCCTCACCAACAGGAAATAAAAGGAGACAACATCACAGCACTGGACAAAGTGCTCTGCTGTGATCTCAGACGGTTACCACTTTAATAAATGATTGATTGAATACAGTATGTGCTGCCAATGCTAAGAGCTTGGCTGCCTCGGTATGTCTGCCTATTTGTCACTTTCAAAGACACTGCGTATCTGCTTTTACAGAGCATTACCTCTAATATCCTGACATTCTGCGTTGTGACCCTGAAGTTCTGAACGTCTCTCTGCCGGACCGTATGTCTGTCTGTCAATGTCAGCCTCTCCATCCTTGATCGTTTTAACCGACTGTCTGTCAGTCAGTCATCTTTCGTGTTGGGCTGATGATCTCATGTCTCGATTTCTCAAATTAATGTCAATGTGGAGGTTAGCACAAAAATAATTCCACACCTCTTCTGTTGCTAACTGTGCAAACTAAATGCAACAGCTCTAAATACCAGATTATCATATGTACTCGCTTTTTATCTATCATTTCATATATTAAGAAGAAATGCAAAGCCATTTAAATACCATATAACAGTCCTATTTACACCGGCAAAACTAGTTTCAAATATTCAATATATCCTGTTTACACAAGAGGGCAGTAATACTCTGGTGCATGTTATGAATATACCCTTGCAGCAAAAGAAAATTCTGGTCATGTTCACGATGACATTTAAAGAGGACAAAGGGTCTTCAGCTTACTTCGTATTTTTATCAAATTGCATCAGTTTTCATTAATTGAACGAATACATTTTAATGAATGAACGAGTGAATTGTATGGTTACACAGCTCAAATATTATAATACATATAATATACGTTAGAAAGATATTAGGAGGAAGATAGGACTTACATTTGCTGTCGACAGAGACTACTGTTAAGAAAACCGATGAGAAAGCAAAAACTAAAAATGTAAACAATAATCTTCATTATTGTTGTATTTATTGATTCATGTGTTGTAATGTCAGTTCCTTTGGCTGTTGTCTTTTGAATTGGATTTTCTTTACTGCAGGCTGTGAGTAGACCCCCCCCCCCCATGGGACTTTACACCCCAAGAGGCACTCTCACCACATCGAACCGAGTTCACAAGTGTGCCCACATGTTTTCACCAAACGTCCAGAGTGTGCTCCAAAACAAGAATTACACAAGTGACACGCCACAACTGGGAGGTAATATGATGACTTTTAAGTAGTCTTTCTGGACCCTCATAAGTTTCCTATCATCGGGATAATCACCATTTGTCATGAAGGTAGAAGACTCCTGTCTGACTCTCTCAGGTTCTCACTTCTTGTCGCAGAAGTATTTTCCTGTGGGCCTGTAACCGAAAACTCAACACCTTCCACCGTGAGCTGGTTAATTTCAGTTTCAACAACGATTCAGTCAACAGTATTTCATTCATTTGCACCATGGTGTGGTTTGAATGATATCCTGTAATAAAGAAATGGTTGTTAACAATAGCCATCACCTCACTTCAATACGGGCAGACCTTGAGATTTTATGAAAATGTTTACATCAAATTGTGTAATGTACTGAAGTAAGTACTTAAGTATGATATTATGGTACTTGAACTTTATTCCATTTAATGCTACTTTATACTTCTACTCCACTACATTTCAGAAGCAAATATTATACGGCTTACATTTATTTAACAATATCAGTTACTAGTTACTTTACATATTCAGATGATAAGCTATATTAAATATAAATAAACAAATTCATAATCTATTAAATACAATTGTAGCAGTATATAAAGTAATTCAATTAGCTCAACCTTTACCATCTGTGATGAACACATTAACGCATCAATAATAATCCAGTCATTTATTATATATACTTTTCAAAAAGGACAAATTTACGTACAATAAGTACTTTTCTTTTTGGTTCTTTAAGTATAGTTGGATGACAGTAACGTAAGTGAGTAATATTTAAAATGCACGACTTTTACTATTAAGTGTTTTTACAATGAAGTATTTCTACTTTTGCTTAATAAATAACATATCTGAGTACTTCCTCCACCTCTGCACACTCCATTATTTTGCTTTTAAACTGCAGCAGCTCCTAACACTGTACAAATTCCAATGTGCATATATGAATTGGGTGATATATTGGCAGAAATGGAATACATTATTAATTGGAGTAAAATAGCCAGAAACCTAAAAGTGATTTGTTTACCACTATCTTATAATGAGCCCTTCATATTCCTCTTTATGGAGTTTAATAGGTTATGCTGCCATGTTTCTACAGTAGCTCAGAACATACACATTAAACAAAAAAAGGCATTTTTACGTTACCATAAGGCAACTGTGGGTTCTTAGATGCCACTAAATCCTCCACACTGGACCTTTAAGAGTATCGCACAACACTTTACCTCCGTATGCAGTCAACGATTAATAAATGTTGTCGCCACCTAAACTTAAAATAGGCCAGAAGTGAGAGCTTGAGATGTCCTGTGTGAAAACAGGAAGGCATCACCAACAAATCAACCATTGGTGCTGTTCCCTTTTCTCTCCCCCATGGGTTACATCTAAGAAGTTTACAAATGGAGTTTGTTGCAGTGATGCGGTTTGTTTTTAAAATTGTGTTTTTCATTAATCAACTTCTTCTCTAAATGATTTTTTGATCCAGAAGCATCGTGACGCTTGAACATACTCCCTTATACTCACAGACTGGAGTGTATCTGTGTGTCGCGTGAAGGTTCAACAGGCCGAATATCAGGCAGGAAGGGTGTGTTTGTCGAGTGGTTTCCTCTCTAGTAGCTTGGCTGATCAGAAAAAGCTGAGGGTGTGAAGGGTGTGCACTGCTAAGGTTTTTGTGGTTGCAGTTGCGCTGTCAACCTTAAAGGTGCATGCACAACAACTGTCTTGGAGTGTGTGTGATGGGAAACAAAAAACAAAGAGGCTTATGCTGTTCTGGTTGAGAGCTGTTGAGCCTGCACTCGCCTTCCTGTGGCCCCTGCCTTGAGAACCTCTTTCTGATTTCAGCTTGTCCATGTGACTCGGGTTTCCGCTGCTTGCCTGCTTCCGTGAATAGTAAAAAGAGGTATTGGTGTTTCTCTCAGAGCAGAGGAAGGCAGCTGAACCTCACACACGAGAACACACTCTGCGACAGCGAGTCAACCAGCGATATGGTCAGGGGATCAACCGTCAGTGGCTTGGGAAATCCACACCTAACCACCACAGTAAGTAAATGCACCTTGCACTCAACTAGTACTGCAGTATGCGCTGAGGCTACGGCTGCGTGATTTATCTTACATTTGAATGTTGAATTTAAACTCTTTTGTCTTTGGTGCATTTGCGAAGTATATCATATCAAACACCTGCTTTTGTGCATTATACAAATCTTGCTTATTCTGTATAGGATGTCATAGAGTCGTTAAAACTCTTAATGGCATCCTAGACAGAATGTGTATCAATGTTGCTTAATGAGTCATTAGAAATGTCCCCAAATTGCTTGTATCGCATTTGAGCACTATCGTTGTGTAATGGATTACTCACTAATAAAACTCCAAAGTTGGAATAAAACAAGTGGCTAATGTTATCTTAATTTATTTATGCAGATTTTTAGTTTTAGATTATATTATTCAATTAACTTATTTCATATTGTGTCATTATTCAGATGCATGCGACAATATGCTGTCATTTTGTGCAATTTTAAAGCAAAATAAGCATTGATTATATTGTATCAGTATTAACAGCACGATGGTTTAGACATGCAAGTTATGTTGTGCACAAGAATGTAGTTAACTACTTTTAGCCCTGCAAAATGGGAAATATTAAATATTTATTTCAATAGTTTAGCATAAAACAAAAGTAAATGGTGGTCAAATATTGTTTTTCAAAACTCAGAGTAAAATCTCATTAATAATACCCCCCAAAACAGGATAATACCACTGACGTTAATTCATAGATTAACATGCGTGCGGGCCGAAAAGGAACACAAGGCC